CCCATCGGCCTGTACGCTCCCACAGAGTGGGTCTCCTCAGGGTGCCGTCAGCCAGACAGTGCCGGCTGGCAACCCCAAGGGGGAGGGCCTTCTCGGTGGGAGCTCCCACCCTCTGGAATGAACTACCCCCAGAGATCAGGGTGATCCCTGATCTCCCTTCCTTCCGCCGCGCCCTTAAGACATGGTTATTTCAGCTTGCAGGACTGGCCTAGGGGAAATTTTTAGCGGGGGTTTTAAAATTATTTTAAATTACTCAGGCCAATTGTTAATATTTGTCTTTTAATTAGGTTTTAACTGTAGTATTTGGTATTTTGTAGTTGTTTTATCTGGCTGTTAGCCGCCCTGAGTCAGTAAGGAGAAGGGCGGGATATAAATATAATAAACATTAACATTAACATTAACCAAACACAGAGGGATAGAATCAAGATCACGTGAAGTATTAATACCACTTTACAAGGCCTTGATAAGGCCACACTTGGAATACTGCATCCAGTTTTGGTCATCGCGCTGTAAAAAAGAGGTTGAGACTGTAGAAAGAGTACAGAGAAGAGCAACAAAGATGATCAGGGGACTGGAGGCTAAAACCTATAAGGAATGGTTGCTGGAATTGGGTATGTCTAGTTTAACGAAGAGAAGGACGAGGGGGGACATAATAGCTGTGTTCCAATATCTCAGGGGCTGCCCCAAAGAAGAGGCAGTCAAGCTATTCTCCAAGGCGCCTGAAGGCAGGACAAGAAGCAACAGATGGAAAATTAATCAAGGAGAGAAACAACCTAGAACTAAGGAGAAACTTCCTGACAGTTAGAACAATTAACCAGTGGAACCACCTGCCTCCAGAAGCGGCGAATGCTCCAACACTGGAAGTTTTTAAGAAGAGACTGGACAGCCATTTGTCCGAAATGGTGTAGGGTTTCCTGCCTGAGCAGGGGGTTGGACTAGATGACCTCCAAGGTCCCTTCCAAGTTTATATTATTATTATTATTATTATTATTATTATTATTATTATTATTCAAAGGTTCCGCTTGGGAGAAAAAAAGGGAACTTAGAACAAGCTCTCTTATATTCTTATTTTGGCTTAAAAGTAAGTAATATTTGCTGCCGTCCAATGTTGCTCCCATTCGCTGCCATGGAGTTATTTTTAATAGTTTTAAAATAGTTTCCTTGGTAAAGTATTTCTAGCTTTAGAATTCTAGCATTCAGCACGCACTAGTTTAACAAGGCTACAAGGGCTTGTTTTGCATTCCCACTGGGTTCAAATTCAAAATCCACCTGAAAGAAACACGGAACAAAATGCCTGACTGGGGGTGGGGGAAGCTGGGAAAGTACAAACTGCCATGCCACGCTTGGAATACCTGGCAGTAGCTCCTCTACCCATTTCTGCAACAGTACAAATCATACAGAATACAGAATAACAGAGTTGGAAGGGACGTTTGAGGTCTTCTAGTCCAACCCCTTGCTCAGGCAGGAAATCCTCTACCATTTCAGAGAAATGGTTGTCCAATCTCTTCTTAAAAACCCCCAGTGATGGAGCACCCACAAGTTCTAGAGGCAAGTCGTTCCACTGGTTAATTGTTCTCAGTTAGGAAGTTTCTCCTTAATTCCAGGTTGCTTCTTTCCTTGATCAGTTTCCATCCGTTGCTTCTTGTCCTGCCTTCTGGTGCTTTGGAGAATAGTTTGACTCACTCTTCTTTGGGGCAGCCCCTCAGATACTGGGATACTGCTATCATGTCACCACCACCCCACCCCAGTCCTTTTCTCTAGACTAATACCCAATTCCAGCAACTGTTCTTCATATGTTTTAGTCTCCAGCCTCTAATCATCTTTATTGCTCTTCTCTGCACTCTTTCCAGAGTCTCAACATCTTTTTTATAATGTGGTGACCAAAACTGGTGCAGTATTCCAAACGTGGTTTTACCAAAGCATTATAAGTGGTACTAACACTTCACGTGAACTTGATTCCATCCCTCTGTTGATGCAGCCTAGAACTGTGTTGGCTCTTTTGGCAGCTGCCGCACAGGGCTGGCTCCTGTTTAAGTGATTGTCCACTACGCTTACTACGGTACTATTGAACTAGGGACCACCTATACCAGTGGTGGTGAACCTATGGCACGGGTGCCAGAAGCGGCACGCAGAGCCCTCTCTGTGGGCACGCGCACCGTCGTCCCAGTCCTAGGCCTTCAGCTGGGTTTTATTAAACCTTTTCACTTTAGGCCTCTGCCGCCGTGTGCAAAAAAAAAAAAAAGGTTCAATCAATCAGTCAATTTCAACTTCTTGTGGGGAAAAAAAAGATCTTGCAAAGTTGGAATTGATTGATTGAACTTTTTAGTCCCACCTAGTCTGCCATTACCATCGCAGCCACGCCCACCCAATGGGCCACACCCACCCGGCACCCAACAATGCATAAGTGGGTTTTGGGTTGCAATTTGGGCACTCGGTCTCTAAAAGGTTCGCCATCACTGACCTATACTATACCTGTGCATGTGGTTTTTCTTGCCTAAATGTAGAACTTTTTTTCACCACTGAATTTCATTTTTTCAGTTAGTGCCCAGTGTTCAGGTTTTGTGTGTAAGGCCCCCAGGCAAGTTGAGGGGCAGCTGCTGCCAGAGCCCTGGGCCTGCTGGGAGAGCAGCACTCAAAAGAATTCGGGGACTCACTCAGGGCTCGGGAGTGGTCGGGGTTCCGGATGCCCTTGGCTCTCAGTTTCTGCAGCAAGGTCACCGAGGTCAGCTGCTTCACCAGGTAAACGGACAGGGAGTAATTCTGGGAGAGAGCAAAAGCAGGATTATGTCGTGGACAGAAAGAAATATATTTAAGACGCTTGGCTCTGACTTACATTTATAAATTCATTCATTCATTCATTCATTCAAGCAAGCAAGAGGCTTCGTTCTGATTCTCGTGTGTTGGCTAGTTTCTTTATTCATTTAAACCAGAGTTCCCCAACATTTCCAGATTTGTGGCCTTGCCAGGGGAGGGGGGAGAAGAGATGGTTCCACGCAATTGTGCAAGTGGGGATGTGCGCACGCTCACGCTTGCCTACCACTTCTGCGGCCCGGTTCTGTACAGCTCAAGGCCCGGTAGCGGCCCAGGGCGTTGGGGATCCCTGATTTAAAGGATTTCTATGGCTACTTATCTTAAGCAACTGGGGGGTGACTCACAATAACAAGGGGGAGTTGTCTACTCTTTGCTCCCTTAAGGCTCCTGCCACTGTAACTGTGATGTTGCAAATTAAGCCAGTGTTTCTCCACCTGGGCAATTTTCAGATTTGTGGACTTCAACTCCCAGAATTCCTCAGCCGGCCATGATTTAAGCCAGAGGACCCCCCTCCCAAGCAACCTGGAATTAAGGAGAAAGTTCCTAACAGTGAGGAGAATTAACCAGTGGAACAGAAGTTGCCTCCAGAAATTGTGGGTGCTCCATCCATGGAGGTTTTTAAGAAGAGGCCGGACAGTCACTTGTCTGAGATAGTATAGGTCAGACATGTCAAACACAAGGCCCGGGGGCCGGATGCGGCCCATGAAGTGGTTTCATGTGGTCTGCCAAGCCATCCTGGAAACAGTGAGGAAATGGCCCCCTCTGCCTTGGCCCTGGCCCAGGCTGGCTGGGAACCAATGTACAATTTTGTGGTGGCCCTCTATGCTGAAACGCATTCAGTCTTAGCCAGTGGTTCTCAACCTGTGGGTCGGGACCCCATTTGGGGTCGATCGACCATTTCACGGGGGTCGCCAAGCAAGGCTGTCCACCATTTTTTTTGTCTGCCATTTTTTTTGTCCGCCATTTTTCCCCCTTTTCCGGCGGGTGCCTTACCTCCCTTGGGCTGGGCTAGCTGGTGGTCGGCCTGCTCTGTCTCTGCCACTTGCCAGCTACGCCTCGGCCGGCACAGGGGGCAGAACCATGCATGCGTGGCACTCCCAGGCAGGGAAAGTCCTCGACTTACGACCGGTTTAGTCCTCAACTTACGACCGGTTGGGGTCGCGGCATTAAAAAGGTTGAGAACCACTGGTCTTAGCTCCATAAGCCCCCCCCCCCCGGCATGGCCTGAGAGGAACAGTGAGGCTCCTCCAGTGGACCATGCCTTGGCACTTGCCCTGGTCCCACCCTCTTCTGCCAGAGACCCTCAGATCTGTCCCACTCCTGCCCAGGCCCCCCCAGGCACCCTTGACGGGAACGATGTAGAGCTGGCCATGCCCACCCAGTAGGCCCCACCCACTCCATCCACGCCCACCCAGTAGGCCACACCCAGCCTGGCCACACCCACCCGGCCCCCCTGAGGGCAACCGCAATGCTGATGCGGCCCTCAATGAAATGAGTTTCACACCCCTGGTATAGGTTCTCCTGCTTAAGCAGGGGGCTGGACTAGAAGACCTCCAAGGTCCCTTCCAGCTCTATCCTATCCTATCCTATCCTATCCTATCCTATCCTATCCTGTCCTGTCCTGTAATTCAATTCAATTCTATTCTATTCTATTCTATTCTATTTTCTATTCTACTCTACTCTACTCTACTCTACTCTACTCTACTCTACTCTACTCTACTCTACTCTACTCTACTCTACTCTGTATTCTGTATTCTGTTCCATTCCATTCCATTCCATATGAACTGTGGTAAGTCAAGGACTAGCATCATGCATTTTGTGAGTGCCCCCACTGCTGGCTTTCACAGGCCGGGTATGTCGCTGCCTCCAACGGCTGGCCCTCCCGCTTCTGAGCCCCGCTTACCCTGCCAAATTCCGACGACCAGTTGACCACAATGGTGTTGGGGACCGTGGCCGAAAGGCGCACCAAGGGCGTGATGTTGATCGGTCGACTCGGTCGCTTGGGTTCTGCGCCGTTTTTGGTGGGAGGCAGATAACCCTGCATCGGCAGAAGAGAACATCTGCAGTCAGGCCTTCGGGCACCCTGACCACCATTACGACACACAGGATGGCAGGAGATTGTTTTCTTCACTACGGTTTGCTTGACAAACCAAAACGGGGCGGGTTCAACCCTACAGTAAGCCGTAATCAGAGTGTAATCGACCACACTTTGGCTTGGTGCGATGTGTCACCATAAGCCATGTTCAAATATTCCCCAGGGACTTGCGGGAAGACAAGCAACTGATGTAAATGTATGATTTATGCATGAATGTATAATTCATGTAAATGAATTATTAAAAAATGGAGAGTGATGTTTACAGAAATTTTGGATAACTTGCCTAAAAGCATGCTGCCCTAAAACCCAACAGAGTCCAAAGGCCCTGTCGTGATTCCACGCCAGCCTGTGTTCCCAACAGCTGAGTCTGAGGAATCTGAGGAGGAGGTGGAGGAGGCATTTGAAGGGCCATCAGGGTCAGAGGGAGGCTCTGATGAATTACAAGACTCAGGGCTTGATGAAGGGCCTGGGCCCTCCAGTTGTGTTCCTGATGAAGCTCAGCTGTGTGAGGGGACTGAATCAGACTGGACTCATACCTGATGGACTTGCTAATTGATGCTCGCACACGCAGGCAATTAGCAAGAGTAAATCAGCAGCAGTCAATGGGACAACTCCAGAGAAAACGGAAAAGGCACTGAGAGGCAACGCCTTGAAACTGCTGTATAAAAAGAGGTGTGGGCGGTGCTGGTTGCTGAAGGCAACCGTTTGTTTTACCGATGAATGTCTTGTTTAACTCCTGCTCTGTTTGCTTTTTTAACCAATTATCTGTTGGAAAAGTATTCTGTTGTTTTTGTTTTTGAGAAATCAGGACTGTTTTTGAAATAAAAAGGGGTTGGTTTTCCGAGCCTACTGTTAAAGAGGGGTTTGTTTTTGTGACGCAACAAAGACGGACGTAGGCTGGGACAGAACAGGCCCTTTATCATCAATATACTCCTTCAAGGGCAGGACCTGCCCCTCCAGAGAGCTTCAAACAGGAAGACTTTCCTCTCGTGGTGTTCAGCTCCAGCCTGTTCTGACCTATCTAGAGAGTTCTCGACTTATAAGTTTGTTTAATGACTGTTGGAAGTTATAACGGCACTGAAAAAAGTGACTTTCACATTGACGGCCATTGCAGCCTCCCCAAGATCACGTGATCGAGATTCAGACGTTTGACAACTGACTCGTATTTATGATGGTCGCAGCGTCCCGGGGTCACGTGATCCCCTTTTGCGACCTTCTGACAAGCAAAGTCCATGGGGAAGCCGGATTCACTTAACCACCGGGTTACTGACTTAACAACTGCAGTGATTCGCTTAACAACTACGGTAAAAAAAGTTGTAAAATGGGGCAAAACTCCCTTAACAAATGTTTCACTTAGCAATGTAAGTTTGGGGTTCAATTGTAGGTGGAATCCCCTAATAAAGGGGCTACCTGGATACTCTTTCTCCCCCAACCCCAACGGAGAGAGCCTGACCTCCGAGGAAGGCTGCCAATTCCCAGCTGTCTTGGGGCAGGTTGAACCCAACCATGGAGCCCCTGAGTTGGGGGCTGCCTGGATCATCCAGATGAACCGTTCACTTTCAGACATGGGAAACCGAGAGAGGACGAGAGCTACTCACGGGCAAAGGACACAGCTTCCCATTGATCTTAACAAACAAATTGGGAGGGAAGTAATCTTCTTGGGGGCAGCTGGTTTCACATAAACAAAACCTGAAAAGATATAAACACCAGAAGGGTTAAAGGGGGGGGGGAGAATGCCCTGAGAATCCCAGATTCTACAGCTGAAATCCATTCAGAAGGCATTGACCAGTAATAGCACAATAAACCTAGCACACAATGTACAAAAAGATACACTTGCGAACAATGGCAGACTGGGAGACTAAAATTTGACAAATGTGGAAATGGCAACAACAACAACAACAACAATAATAATAATAAGTAGTAGTAGTAGTAGTAGTAGTAGTAGTTGGAAGGGATCTTGGAGGTCATCTAGTCCAAGAAGAAGAAGAAGAAGAAGTAGTAGTAGTAGTAGTAGTAGTTGGAAGGGATCTTGGAGGTCATCTAGTCCAACCCCCTGCTCAGGCAGGAAACCTATACCATTTCAGACAAATGGCTGTCCAGTCTCTTCTTCTTAAAAACTTCCAGTGTTGGAGCTTTCACCGCTTCTGGAGGCAGGTTGTTCCACTGGTTAATTGTTCTAACAGTCAGGAAGTTTCTCCTTAGTTCCAGGTTGCTTCTCTCCTTGATCAGTTTCCATCCGTTGCTTCTTGTCCTGCCTCCAGGCGCTTTGGAAAATAGCTTGACTCCCTCTTCTTTGGAGCAGCCCCTGAGATACTGGAAGACTGCTATCATGTCCCCCCTCGTCCTTCTCTTTGTTAAACTAGACATACCCAATTCCAGCAACCGTTCCTCATATGCTTTAGCCTCCAGTCCCCTAATCATCTCTGTTGCTCTTCTCTGTACTCTTTCTAGGGTCTCAACATCAATATATAGCAACAATAGAAATCCAACTAAGTTTAAGCAAGAATGGCTCCCTTCCATATTATCACAAGAGCAAGGAAGGTTTGAAATAGGGCTGTTTGCTCTGCTCTCTGTGGCTAGAGAAGTAGTAACAGATGGAAGCTTGTTAAAGAGGGATCCAATCTAGAAATAAGGAATTTCCTGACAGTGAGAACCAATAAACAGTGGGACGACTGGCCTCCAGAAGTTGTGGGTGCTCCATCACTGGAGGTTTGCAAGAAAAAACTGGACAGCCATGTGTCCAGAATGCTATAAGGACTCTTGCCTGGGCAGGGGGTTGGACTAGAAGACCTCCAAGGTCCCTTGGTGGCTGATGAGTCAAGGTCTCTCCTGCCACTATAGGTACAGCAAATATTTTGTTGCTTTTCAAACATTCTGTTAAGCTAAGCTTTTCTTACCTCAGTTGTACCTGTACAGTGTAATCACATTTGGCACCAGGTAAGATATCTCTGGAGGGGGAAAAAAAGACAAGAAAAAAGGTTTAAATTTGTCTGGAAAAATAACAAAGCGAATTTTGGGATCGTATACATTAACAATTAGGCCTGTGGCCCCACTGGATGAACTTCTGCAGGTGACATTCTGTCAATCAGTGGCTAGGATCAACCACAGAGCAGAGTCTTATCAGCACTGCTGTAAAGCAAAAACAGGGGGGTTGACAAAGAGCGTGGGAGAGACCCTTAATTCCTCCCTGTGGCTGTTGTTTGAAATTCCAAACTATAGTCTGGAAAAATGATGAAACGAACCAAAGTGAAGGGGTCCACAGAATGACGTTTCTCAACTTTGGCAACTCCTAAGATGTGTGGACTTCAACTCCCATGCTGCCTGGGGAATTCTGGGAGTTGAAATCCACACATCTTAAAAGTTGTCAAGGTTGAGAAACACTGCCCTAGAAGGTATTCCTTAAAAGGCAGTCGTGGTGATGAAACAGCAGGCCACTTCTTCTAGGGCAGGGGTCGGCAACCCGCGGCTCCGGAGCCGCATGTGGCTCTTTGAGCCTTCTATTGCAGCTCCCAATCCTCCTCAGCCATTTGCAGAGAGAGAGAGAGAGAGAGAGAGAGGCGCTTCCCTTCCCTTCCCTCTCTCTCTCTCTCTCTCTCTCTCTCTCTCTCTCTCTCTCTCTCTCTCTCTGTGTGTGTGTAAAAAAGAGAGTGGCCTCACGCTGTTCTCCGACAAGCTGACAAGCTTATTGGGCAGGGCTCCTGCTTTTGCTGCATCTCCGCAGGAAGCAGGAGAAAGCAGAAAGCAGCATATCTCTCTCTCTCTCTCTCTCTCTCACACACACACACACACACAGAGAGAGAGAGAGAGAGAGAGAGAGAGAGAGGGAGAGGGAGAGAGAGAGAGAGAGAGAGAGAGAAAGTGGGGGAAGAGGACTGGCAGACCAAGGGCAGGAGAGAGCCAGCCCAATAAGAATGTGTGTCAGCTTGTCGGAGAGCAATGTCAGGCCAGCTGGCCAGGTGAGCAGAAGATCGGAGAGAGGGAGGGAGAGAGAGAACTCATGGCACAGCAGCCTCTATTTCTTTTTAATTAAACTCTTCAATCAAGCTCCCCCTCCTCCAGCGTGCACGGATGAGTTTTGCGGCTCCCGGTGTTTTCTTTTCTGTGGGAAACGGGTCCACGTGCCTCTTTGAGTGTTTAAGGTTGCCGACCCCTGTTCTAGGGGGAACAGCAGCTCAGAGGATTTTGCACCAAGCAAGTGGAAACACGCAATCCTTCTGGCTAGGACTGGCAGTGTTGTGCCTGCAGGTTGCCAAGGCAAACTAACCCCTCACCCTTCGTTGTGTTTAAGATAAGATAACCTTTATTGTCACTTTTTTCTGTGAGCACACTGGCACACGTTAAAAAAGAAAATATTCTAATGCCCTCTCCATCCGCTCACAAAAAAAAAAATACACACACAGACACAGAACACAGACACACATATATTCTTTTGAGAGCGGGCATCAAGATTTTTTTTTTAATGTGTGCCAGTGTGTTCACAGAAAAGAGATACATACATGCACATACATATACAGGTAACCCTCGACTTATGACAACTGAGCCTGCTATCATTTTTAAATGTCTGTGGAGATTCTCCATCATTCAGGTCCTGGTTCTCCCAAAGATGTTTTTTTACAAGACAACTGGGCTGACTGGACTCCATTCCCCCACCATCCGGTCAGAGCCGAAGAAGCTTCTTGAATGAGAGGTGAAATGTCTTCAACGAAAAACAAGGAAGTCCAGTCGTCTCGTGAAAAAGCATCTTCGTGACACGTCATTTTTAAACTTCAGCCATTGCTCTTTTTTTGTTTGTTTTATGTATTTTATTCCATATGCTTACGTTTTAATGCACGCGTGACGTGCTGCAGGCTATTGTATGCTAAATTTTATTGTAGACTTTTCTCAATCAGGGGTATGTAAACATTTTAAAATCAATAACAAGATTTATTTTAGCAGAGGGAAAAAAAAAAAAAGACCCCCTCACCTCGAAGTGAGAATCTGTTGCACCTGCTGAGGAGTGAGAGCAAAGGTGAAATGAGCTTCCTCAAATCTCTGGCTGTTCACCGAAGCTGCAACGAGAGAAGCACAGAACATTCATGCCCACCCCCTGGATTTGGGAGAGATGCCCAGAATTACGCCAAGACGGCCCCCCGAGGTCCTTTTTGCTGCTATGATGAAAATGGTGGTGATGATAGACCAGGGGTCTTCCAACTTGGCCCTTGTGTGACTTGTGGACTTCAACTCCCAGAATTCCTCAGCCAGGCACGCGTGGAAGACCCCTGTGATAGACTATCAGGGTAGGAAGGGATTTTGGCGAGATCATGGCTCATCCCCCAGCCCAAGGCAGGAATTCTCTACAGCAGGGGACCCCAATCTGTGGGCCATAGCCCACTATCGGGTGGTGGCCTACTGGCCACCAGGCGCGGAACAGGCTGGCCCGAGCGCGCACATATGTGTGCACACTCACCGCCACTCATGCTAGCGCCGCCACTACGCAGTGTACCGTGCAGTGAAAACAGGGTGCTGCGTGACGAAAACGGGGCGGTGCTAGCGTCACGCAGGTGCTCACGGCCCTGTTCTGTGGACCAGCAGCGGGGGTGGCGGAGGGGATGGTTTTTGCGTGCGCCCTGCTGCTTGTTCCAATGGAGCTTTCTGTGCTCATGTGCTCACCCGCTGCTTGTGCGGTCTGCTTCCCAAAGGGCCACGGACCAGTACCGGGCCACAGACTGGAGGTGGGGACCTCTGACTTAAAGCCCTGGTTTCTTGTCCTGCTGGAAAGACTCCAAGCAATTCTGCACATCTTCCACAGCGCTTGGGCAGGGCTATCCTGTCTCCCTGAATTTACAGAATACAAAACAACAGAGTTGGAAGGGACCTTGGAGGACTTCTAGTTCAACCCCCTGCTCAGGCAGGAAGCCCTACACCATTTCAGACAAATGGCTGTCCAGTCTCTTCTTAAAAACCTCCAGTGTTGGAGCACCCACAACTTCTGGTGGCAAGCTGTTCCACCGGTTGATTGTTGGTTGTTCTCACTGCCAGAAAATTTCTCCTTAGTTCTAGGTTGCTTCTCTCCTTGATTAGTTTCCATCCGTTGCTTCTCGTCCTGCCTTCAGGTGCTTTGGAGAAGAGGTTGACCCCCTCTTCCTTGGGGCAGCCCCTCAAATACTGGAACACTGCTATCATGTCATCCTTAAGTCTTTCTTTTCACTAAACTAGACATATCCAATTCCAGGAGCCATTCTTTATATATTCAGGTGTGGGTCACATCAGATGAGGGTCACTGGGAAGTGAAAAACTGGTGGGGGGGGGGATTGTGTGGTTTGGTGCCGTTGCTGGTTAGTTGTGTGGTTGATTTGAATTCTCAGAGGTTCGTAGGCTGGGTGTAGGACGATGCGTCTGTTGATGGAATTGCTTATAAGCAGAACATCGACACGGGCATATTTTAAATTCCGCTGAGGATGTTACCTAGGCTGGTAACGTTTGGAAACCAACCCACAAGCTTGGAGAACGAACCTCCACCCTCAACTTATGGTCTTTCAGCCTACGATCCTTCTAAATTGGCTTACAAGCCAGGTAAACAAACTTTAGAACAATGTTTATTTAAATCTGAGATTTATGTGGTCTTCCTCATGGGTGTTAGTGGTCCTGTTTTGGAAAGGAAGGAGAGAATGCAAGCTGGAAACTCCCAGGCAAAAGAGGGCAAATGATCCAGCCAAATAAAGCCAGGGCTTCAATTTCACTTGAAGGAAACCCAGCCACCTACAACCTGTCCACACCCAGCCAATTAGCCTGTTTTGCCTAACCTGTCCTCCAAGAAAACGAGTGGGAGAGAAAGAGTGGCTGAAACAATAAGCCTCTCCTTGGAGAACTCTCTTCCAGACAACACACCAACCCGCCCCGTCACAGTCTGCTTGTCAACGGGGCTGCTGATATCCTGAAGTCTTCCCAGGGCTTCCTCGGTGAAGCTTGATTAGGATGCAAGAGGAAAAAGCAAAGAGGGATCTCCATACTCAGTTCTGTGTGACTGTGAGCCATAAGAAGAACTCCTAATTCTTGGATGACATCATAAGGCAGGGGATAAATCTGACAAGACAGATGTGGGGTTGGCAGGAAAGAGCCTATGACTTTCACAAATGAAGGCGAATAAGTGTGTCCCAGGATGAGCCCATCACGTACGTAGGCTAGAGAGAAGTTCCCTAGTGATGGCTCCAGAAATACGTCCGGAAGCTGGGAAGCTCCCAATGACCAACCCAGATTGGATCCTGCTGCCTATGAATTTCTCCAAGCCCCTCTGTAAAGGGCTGAAATTGGAAGTGGGCTCCTCTCTGCGCGGAAGTGCCTCTCCCCCGCCATCAAAATGCATCACAGCCTGCAAAAAGGAAGAAAGGCAGGCCATACCTGCCAGTAACTAAATTCCCGGTCACAAGAGTGATAACATTTGGCAATGGGAGATGGCCACCTTCTGATGGGAGACCTTTTTTTCTGGCCTGTGCAGTCCCTTTGCTTGCTTGCATCTGGAAGGCACCAACGCCTCCTGACCAGCATTCTAGTCCTCCTCTGAGCTGCCCACCGGCCAGGCCTGCCAAAAACGAACGACCCCCACCCTCCAATCCTGAGATGAGAAGCGAAGGAAAACTGGGAAATAAACTTTAAAAACGGGCACATTGAGCAACAAGACAGAGAGACTGTAGTGCAGTGGTGGCGAACCTATGGCACGGGTTCCAGAGGCGGCACCCAGAGCCCTCTCTGTGGGCACGCGCACCGTCGCCCCAGTCCTAGGCCTTCAGCTGGGTTTTATAAAATCTTTTCGCTTTAGGCCTCCACCACCGTGTGCAAAAAAAAAAAAGGTTCAATCAGTCAATTTCAACTTCTTGCGGGGAAAAAAAGATCTTGCAAAGTTGGAATTGATTGATTGAACTTTTTAGTCCCACCCAGTCTGCCATTACCACCGCAGCCACGCCCAGCCAATGGGCCACGCCCACCCGGCACCAGACGATGCATAAGTGGGTTTTGGGTTGCAGTTTGGGCACTCGGTCTCTAAAAGGTTCGCCATCACTGCCGTAGTGATTAAAATGAAACCAGGAGACTGCAAGTTCTAGTCCTGCCTTGGGCGTGAAAGCCGGCCAGGTGACTTTGGGCCAATCAGCAGGAGGCTGCGAGTTCTAGTGCCGCCTTAGCCACAAAAGCCAGCCGGTTGACATTGGGCCAGTCCCTCTTTCTCAGCCGAACCATCTCACGGGTAGTCCTCAACTTACGACAATTGAGCCCCAAATTTTCGTTGCGAAGTGAAACATTTGTTAAGTGAGGGTGACCCCATTTTTACAACCTTCCTTGCCCTGGTTGTTAAGTGAAGCACTGCAGCCATTAAGTTAGGAACTCGGCTGTTAAGTGAGTCCGGCTCCCCCCATTGACGTTGCTTGCCAGAAGGTTGCAAAAGGGGACGATATGACTCCGGGACACTGCAAACCGTCATAAATATGAGCCAATTGGCAAGCATCTGAATTTGGATCACGTGACCCTGGGGACGCTGCAACGGTTGTTAAGTATGAGAAACGGCCCTAAGTCACTTTTTTCAGTGCCGTTGTAACTTTGAGCGGTCGCTAAATGAACTGTTGTAAGTCGAGGACTGCCTGTATTAGGAGTTTGCTGCCTTGAGTTATCGATAAAAATAATAAAGGTAGGATTAAATTTATTTTTTTTTAAAAAAAAGACCATTCTTCAAATTCTATTGTGATGCCCCCCCCACCCCTTGTGGCCCCCAGAACCCCACCAGGAAACGCTAAGCCTGGCTCGAGCCGGCCCAGGCCGAGGACTCACCCAGGGTGGTGGGCTTGATGAGTTCGTCGTACACGTCGTAGAACGGCAGGCGCCGCATCTTCACGTCCGGATGGACAGGGTGGACGGGGGGCGACAGGTGAGGCACGTCGGCCTCGTGCTTGGAGCCCAGCATCGGCACGGGAGGCAGCATGCCGGCTGGCATGCCGGAGGCCACCGCTCCGTTGTCGTAAGGCAGGTGGCACATGGCGCCCTGGGTCAAGGCCGTGGCCGAGGGCAGCTGCCCGGCCTGGAGGTGGAGCATGGATAAGTCCGAAGGGGTGAGGATCTTGCGGGGGAAACGCCTCCGGTACAACTCCTTGATTTTGATCTGGACGGCGGAGCTGCAGCCCGACTTCAGCAGCTGCAGCGCCTTGGTGAGCAGCTCGTGCTTGCGCCCGCTCTTGTTGCGCCCGGCGAAGCCCAGAAGCACTTGCAGCTCCGAGACCCGAAAGCTCATAACCATGTGCTGCAAGACAAGCGTGGACGGAAGTGAAAAATTAAACTGCGGAGAACACAATAAAATTATATTTAAAAAAAAAAAAAAGACATTAAAAATAAAATGGAATTACAAGGAGCTCCAGCCTTGTTCTGACCCATCGAGATACACCTAGTCCTCGACTTACCAAGTTCATTTAGTGACCGTTCATAGTTAAAACGGCACTGAAAAAAAGTGACCCAGGACCGTTTCTCACACTTAGGACAGTTGCAGCATCACCGTGGTTCGTATTTATGACGGCTGCATAAATGAGGTGATCCCCTTTTGCGACCTTTTGACAAGCCAAGTCAAGGGGGAAGCCAGATTCACTTAATTGTGGTCGTAAGTCAAGGATTAACTGTATTGGTATATAATCGTGTGGAGTCCTTGGGGCTTTTTGAGCTTGGTTGTTCTCTTGCAGACGTTTCTTGACCCAACTAGGTAACATCTTCAGTGCTGGAAGGTGCTGTTTAACACCTTACAACAATGACAGGGCAAGCCACTGTACATAAACAGAGAGTAAAGCCCGCTCCGTTCTAGCACTGATGATGTTAGCTAGTTGGGTCATGAAACGTCTGCAACCAAAAACCACCCAGCTCAGAGAGTAACAACAACACACACAGTTCAGCCCTGAGCAACAAACGTCCTCTCCTACTCTTCTGACATGTAACATTTTCATCGTGGCTTGCTGAATAAGCCATCCTGGTACAGCTGACCCATCATTACTCTTAATCTGAGGGCCTCGACTTACAACAGTTCATTTAGTGACCATTCAAAGTAACAACGGCACTATAAAAAGTGACTGATGACAACTGTGGCAAGGACGGTCCTAAAAGAGGGCAAAATTCTTAGCAACTTAGCAACTGTCTCACTTAGCAACAAAAATTGGGGGCTCAATTGTGGTCGTTAAGTCGAGGACTACCTGTACCACATTCTCCAGGGCCGTTCTCTAAGTCTCTAAGCCCCCCAGGAGAGGCGAACAAATGTCAAATCTGTGATAACTAATTTCTCTATTTGTTTCTAAAGCCCAATCTCACACACACACACACCCCTCCCATCGTGGTCCTCCCAACAGGCAGCTAGAGCAAACCTCCCCTGCCAATGAAATACGGAACAAACAAGAAACACACACACACACACATACACACAGACAGGAAGGGGGCCAGCAGGGATGAATCCCGCCTGCTGGGAAGAAGCCTTCCAATTTCAAAGAGAGAAAAGAGTAGGAAAAAACTGAGAAGCCAGCCCAGGGTCTCGCTCGGCTTATGGGTGGCCCACCCACCCAAGTCTTGGAGAAACAGGATTCCCGCAGCCCCGCCATGTGTGCCGAAGGGACCCTCCTGCTCTGGAGCTCTTCAGCAAGGGCTTATTTGCAGAAAGGGGGGGAGGGGGGCTGGCAGGGGACCCAGCCTGGAAAATTCCATCCTTTTAAGAGGGGGTGGGCAACCAAACGCCACATATGGGAGCCTGCGCACAGCCGCCGTCCTCCTGGCATGTCCCCTTTTCACCGCACTGCAAGGCTGCTCAGACAGCAGGATCAGCCCTGCCATGTTGAATTTACCCCCACCGAAACAAAGCGAAGCTTCTTCGACATCTCCTTTTAGGTACAGGGGGTCCTCAACTTACATCAGTTCGTTTAGCGGCCGTTCAAAATTACAACGGCACTGGGGAAAAAAGGGGACTTTATGATCGTTTTTCGCACTCACGACCACTGCAGCATCCCCACGGTCATGTGAGTTTACACTTGGATGTTCGACAACTGGGTTCATATTTATATGACGGTCGCGGTGTCCCCGGGGGGGGTCACTTGACCCCCTTTTGCAACATTCTGACGAGCGAGGTCAACAGGGAAGCCAGATTCACTTCACAACCCTGTGACTAATTTAACAACTGCAGGGATTCGCTTAACAAAGGTGGCAAGGAAAGCCGCAAAATGGGGCAAAACTCACTTAACAAATGTTTCACTTAGCGACACAAATGTCGGGCTCAATTGTGGTCGTAACTGGAGGACTGCCTGTACTCAAAGTCAATTCAGAGATAATCTTGTGCCGGAGCTTTCCTCCATCCGTATTGTGTGCCAAAATCAAGCAAAACCATTGAAACACCCAATACGTGGCCGTGGGTGCAGAGAAGGAATGAGCCACGCAGTGCCTACAGCGTCTTTCAAGCGATGCTGACTGGACTCCAAAATGAAATCATGGGAAGAATAATGTACTTTTAGAACATTAAAAAAGGATCCAAACCTTGGGAGCTAGTGGAACATCACCAAAATCCCAGGTATTTCATAGAACCAAAAGGCTGGAAGGGACCTTGGAGGTCTTCTAGTCCAACCCCTGCTAAAGGCAGACCTTATTCCAGCTGGGACAAATGCCTCTCCAATTCCTTTCTTGAAAACCTCCAGCTCACAAATCTGGGGGCAAGCGATTCCACTCACTGATGGTTCTCAATGTCTGGAAATTTCTACTTAGTTCTAGATTGGATCGCTCTCTAACGGTATTGGAAAGGGACCTTGGAGGTCATCTAATCCAACCCCCTGCTCAAGCAGGAGACCCTTTACCCATGTCAGACCATGTCAGACAAATGTCTTCTTAAAATAAATCTCTAGGGAAGGAGCACCCACAACTTCATGATTAACTGCTCTGTCAGGAAATTTCTCCTTATTTCTATGTTTGGATCTCTCTTTGCTAACTTTCCACCCGTTGCTTCTCGTCCTGCTCTCTGGTGCTCTAGAGCAAGGGTCCCCAACCTCCGGTCTGTGGATCGGTACTGGTCCGCAGCATGCCAGCAACCGGTCCGCACAAACAAGCAAAGCCCCATCCGTGGGATGCAGGCAGCACACAAAACCACGCACTCTCCGGTCCGTGGAAAATCCTTTCTCCACGGAACCGGTCCCTGGTGCCCAAAAGGTTGGGGACCTCCGTTCTAGAGTCAATCCCCTTTTCTTTGTTACAGTCCCTCAACTATTGGAAGACTCCAATCATGTCCCCCCAATCCTTCTCTTCAACAGGTTAGACAAAATTAGTTCCCTTACATCAGGGGTGTCAACTGCCAGCCTGCGGGCCAGACGCGTCACGAAGAAACCGCGCCCACCCCATTGCCGGCAATGGGGAAAAAGCTCCGATACGTCGCGCGACGTCACAAGTTTGACATGTCTGCCTTACGCTGATCATACAATTCAGCCTCCAAACCCTAATTATCTTGGTTGCTTTTCTCTGTTCTCTTTCCAGGACCTCAGCATCTTTTTTTTGTATTGTGGCAACCAGAGCTGGACGCAGTACAGGTAGTCCTCGACTTACAACAGTTCATTTAGCGACCGTTCAGTTCCAACAGCACTGAAAACAGTGACTTATGATGGTTTTTCAGTTACCCCTTTTGCAGCACCTCCCGCCTGCAGATCAAAATTCAGATGCTTGTCAACTGGTTCATATTTATGACGGTCGCAGTGTCCCGGGGGGGTCACGTAATCCCCTCTTGCGACCTTCTGACAAGCAAAATCGGTGGGGAAGCCTGATTCACCTAACAACCGTGTTACTAACTTAACAACCGCAGTGATTCACTTAACAACCAAGGCAAGAAAGGTCGCAAAATGGGACAAACCCCACTTAACAAATGTCTCACTTAATAACAGAAATTTGGGGCTCACTTGTGCTCTTAAGTTGAGGGCTACCTGTGCAGGTTGTTCTCGACCGACAACTGTTTGTGGTAAACAGTTGCTGTTACAACTGCACTGAAAAAAGTGATTTATGGCCAATTTTCAGTGACGATGGCTGCAGCATCCCCAGAGTCACATGATCAACCTTTGGATGCTTGGCAGGTATTGACGACGGCTGCAGCGTCCTGGGGTCCTGGAATTGTCATATGCAAGTTGCTTAGTGAGCTTCAGACAAGCAAAGCTCAATGGGGGACGCCAGACTCACTTAATGACATTCGCGTAAGAAGTGAAGTGATTTGGTTAACAATCATGGCAAAAAGGTTGTAAACTGGGGTACAACTCACTGAACAACTGTCTTGCTCAGCAACTTAAATCTGGAGCTCAACTGTGGCTGTAAACCATGGTGGCGCAGTGGTTAGAGTGCAGTACTGCAGGCTAACTCTGCCCACGGTCAACAGTTCGATCCTGACTGGCTCAAGGTTGACTCAGCCTTCCGTCCTTCCGAGGTGGGTAAAATGAGGACCCAGACTATTCGGAGGCAAGAGACTGACTCTGTAAACCGCTTAGAGAGGGCGGTGAAGTACTGTGAAGCAGTATATAGGTCTAAGTGCTGATTCTATTCTATTCTATTCTATTCTAATTTTGGGAATTTAAATAAACACATCTTCAAGTCACCAAGGTTGAGAAACACTGGCATGCATTATAGATTGTCCTCAACTCACAACAACTGAGCCCAACATTTCTGTTGCTAAGTGACACATGGGTTAAGTGAATTTTGCCCCATTTTAAGACCTTTTTTTGCCACAGTTGTTAAGTGAATCACTGCAGTTGTTAAGTTAGTATCATGGTCAGGTAAATCCCCATTTTGTGAGAAAGTCACAAAAGGGGATCACATCACTCCCGGACACTGCAACTGTCATAAATATGAGCCACTTGTCAAGCGTCTGAATTTTGACCATGGGGATGCTGAAACAGTCGTAAGTGTGAAAAATGGTCATAAGTCATTTTTTTCAGTGCCGTTGTAACTTTGAACAGTCACTAAATGAACTGTTGTAAGTCGAGGACTATCTGTAGTTTTTTTTAAATTTCTCCAAGGGTTGTGGGAATGATTTGTGACTTAGTGGACAATATGGGAGGGATCCCCTTTCCTCCCAGTCAATCCAATCCAACCCATTCCCAATTTCTCCAAATTATCCCCAACTCTCCAACCTGACGTCTGACCTCCCCCCTCCCAGGAAAGCCCCACATGGGACCAACTGCTCTTTCCACCCAAGGGCCATATTTGAATTCCCAGAATCCCCCGGGGTGCTACCTGTTGATTCTGAGAGTTGAAGTACAC